AAATGATCAACTTTTAAATATTATTAACAATATTACACAACTTTTTAAATTATAAATAAGTTCAATATGTTAAATATTACGTGAGAATATAATATAAAGAAACTTGTAATGTGACTTTTTTGTTTATTGTATTCAATTTAGAATATCATATAAACGAGACCTTTATATATCTAAATTAATGTAAGCATATTTTGATCAAAATGTTAGATTCATAGATTTTAGTTAGATTATAAATAAGTAAGAAACATATTATTACGTTGATATGCAATCGATAAATCGCTAATTATAAGAATAAATTGACATACGAGTTTCATAATACCATTATCATAATCCATTTAGTAAAATGTGAGACTATAGGAAAATAAGAAATAGCTAACGTATTCACGAAATATTTCCAAAATTAAAAGACAATTGTTTTCTCGGAACAATACGAAGCCCATTAGGGATTCTATTGGATGATCCAGCAAATCATGAAGAGGAAGACGTCTGTTACCTGTTAGAGTCATCCCTTTCGTCTCTCGTCTAATGATGGCACCGGCTTGTCATAACTGTTCACGCCTAGAATGACACAAAGGAAAGGTAGGCACACGCACGGCGGACACGCGAGTTAAACGTCGCAAGCAATGAAAACACTGACTTCTCGTCGTCTCTTTTCGCCTCTTCCGTATTTTTTGTCCCCCTCTTCTCGTTCCCTCTCACTTTACCGCAAAAGCTCTTCCTTCCGTGTCTTACCTATATTTCTCTCCCTCTCGCTCAGATCATGGCGGCGAGAGGCTTACCTACTCCAACAGCTCTTTTTCGTTAAGCTATTCTTCTCCTCCTATTATTACTTATTTTCCTCTATTTAAATAAAACGAGAGAGAAGAAGAGAAGGGGATCCGTTAGCTCCCGTGAGCAACCGTTGCCGCACCACAAAATCTGACGACAAGAAGCAGCCGCGCGAGAGCAGGGCTCCGATCTAAAAGCGTCGCAACGCATCGCCTCCAATATTCGTTCGTTTTCTTACTCTATATCTCTATTATACATACCTCTGTCTTTCTCTCTCACTATCTATATGTCTCTCTCTCTCTCTCTCTCTCTCTATCTATCTATCTATTTATCTATCTATCTATCTATCTATCTATCTATCTATCTACCTCTATCTCTATCTCTATCTCTATCTCGCTCTCTGCCTAACTCCACTAAATCAATCTATATTTTGCCCTATGTTTTTCACTTGACTATGTATCATTTCTCTTTTTAATAAACTATTTCCCTCTCCTTATTTTAACCTTTCCATATGTAGTCTCTTTCACTACCAATAATGGTGGGGTCGAATTTTGTTTCGTTCCTTAACATGTTAATTTTCTACTTTTTTATTAAAACTAATTATCTCTTAGATTTCATTAAATGCCTTTTGTTTCAATATTTTAATATCTTCTTCTACTATGCATTAACACTTATCTCGGCTTTTCTTCTAATTTTAGCATAAATATTTATTGCAAATCTATATGTATGAATATGTATATGAATATGTTTGTATTTTTATTTCTCTTATAAACTTAACTAATTGCATAAAATTATATTAGTAAATACTAACTAAAATCTTTTTATTATATAAACAAAAATTTATCATAAATTGTATTCAATATTTCGTATAAATTCAAAGATATTTTAGTTTAATTACAATAATGAATGAAGAAGTAATCAGAGAATTCTTCGTAGTATTTAATTTCAGTATTTAATTTTATAAAAATTAAAAATGTTCTCATTACTTATTATTGGTTTGTTGGCAGAAAAACTAATATTCAAGTTTTTAAGAAGATCAACTTGTAAATTTTTTTTTTTTAAAAAAAGTTAACTGATACTAAGAATAAACATATTAGTAATAAATAAAATAAAAATATAAATTTAATATATAATACTAAGCATCTAAAATATCGATATTCAAAAATTAATAGTATAACTGCAAAGAAATAAAAATGTATGATTATCTATTTCACAATATAATTAAATTCTTAAATGACTTTATCTATTCATATAAATATGAATAATTATATTTCAGAATGAAATAAATGTTGTTTCCTTATTAAACATCAGAAGAATTGAAATTCTTCAATATTCATTTTATTATAACAATGGTAGTTTCATTAATAAATGTATAACACATCAAATAAAAAGAAATTAACTAATCTATTTCGAGTGAAATTACAAAATAGAAGAAATTAAAAAAGTATAAAAGGTATCTTTTGTACGCTCCAGTAAAAGTTTCATACTATTTTCATATGTCAATTAGTTTTAAATCTATTTATCTCATAAATAACCTAATAATATATATTTGGTACAAAAATAATATTGTAATAAAAATGTACAGTTCCAATCCTATTTAATTATCATAATAAATACCATGAAATAATAATTGCCATGAAAAACTACACATTAAAATTATAAATAATAAGTAAGCAGCAGTAAATGTTTAAAACTTTTGTTATAAAAATTATTAAAATAAAATAATTAAAAAATAAAAAAAAATATAATTATTGATATCATATATAAAAATTTTTAGGTTTTCTCTTCAGTTTTTGGTTAATCATTAATTAAATATGTTAAATTATTTACTTTCTACTAATTTTATAGGTTTATTTCGAATACTTAACCGAATGAGTTTTTTTATTTTAAACAATTCATAAATCATTATGTCTAATTTCTTTGTGTAAGGATTTTAAATTTTTCAAATAAAATCATAAAATTATAAATATTAATATATTTATTATATTATTATTAATATTTAATAGTGAATAAAACGAATCAATTGTTATCGTTGCACTGATGCCATAAAATATTGTTTAATAAAGAAACTGTAATAGTACCATGACTACAGTTTTGAAAGTTTCACGATAGCCTGCCATATGAGAAATTTCATAAATAATAAAATATAAAAAAAGGTAAGAATATATTGTCGAAAAAGTAATTACATAAAAAATATATGTGCGCAAAGGATCAGCTTTGTTTCTTTTCATCTTTTACTTATTAAGTTTCTTTTACCTGTTTTTCGTAAATAACTGAAATAGATTAGTCTATCCATCCAATCATATTATTATACAGGAATTCGAAATATAATTTAATATAATGTAGGTATTTAAAAAAGTATGCATTCATTTATAGAAGAAATTCGTAGTAATCAAACATATATCAATTAGTAAATTAATAAATTAAAATGAAATATCAACACAATAATTAACATATATAGTTATTTTCTTAAGCTTTACGAAGACATAAAAAATATTACGAATTCTATAAAATCATATTTTTAATTTGCTAACTGTAGGCTTGCATAAATTTAAATGAAGAAAAAATAAAATTTTCTACGATATTAATTTATCAATGCAATAAACTCAATATTATTTTTTAAAAAAAAATTCGTTAAATTATTTAAATAATATTTATCAGTATTTCACTCTAAAATAAAAATAATAGTATTAGAATCTAATGTGTAAAAGTGAAGTGGTATTTAAACATTAAATATTTAAATATTACTTAATATACTAAATATATATATATATAAATAATTAAATCATGCTACTACTACTAGTAGTAGTAGTAGTAGTAAAAACAATAATAACTAATTAATTAAACAATTTTAATTGCCTAGAAGTTGTTTAATAGTATACTATAAGAATAAGTTTAAAAATAGGTAAAAGAATTTTATACTCAATGAAATGTCCATTTTAAATCGACAATGAAACATAATAACTGTAGTAACATGGAATACTATAAAATATTTCACTCTATCTGTACAAATCTATTGTTATATTAGTGACAGTATAAATAATATTTCAATAAAATATTATCAAATTTGCTTGAGGAATAGATTGAAATTTTTTTTATAATGATTGAATTTTTGAATATGATTGAATGATTGAATATTTAAAATTCTATGTATGCTAATAAACAGTTATTAAAACAGATTAATGTTAATTAATTCTATAATAATAAACCATTAGATATTTCTAATAGTTATAAAAACAATATATTGCATATTTAAACAATTGGTGTAATAATGAAAATTCTATAACATAAATTTTACAGAAAATAATTTATTGATGTATTATATAATAAGATTAACCATCAATGTACAATTTTATAATAATAATTTATTATTTTATCATCATTTACAGTTGCAACAAAATTTTTCTGAACTTAAATATTATAAAATTAAATATAATCTCGATATTTTTATAAATAAATAATAAATAATCTAATAATAAACGTTAACAAATTTATTTATACTGATTGGTTCTTTTAAAATTATCAACAATATGTATACTGAAAATTTTTTTTGGAACAGAAATAATATTCAAGAACAAATTTATCATTCTTGAACTTCATTAAATAAAACTCAAACTTTGCATATGATTAAGTTTTTAAGAAAAAATTTCGATTAATTTAATTGTAGTTTCCACAAAAATTTTTAATATTTGATGAACTAGAAGTACTTAAAATCCAATTTTTATCATATATTTAGCTGATTTTTAACATAGATATTAGAATGAATTATTAAAATAAAATGGAAAAATTCTATTGTGTACCAATTTTCTTATAAACTCATTCATATATTTCTTAGAATACATATATAATTATAATATTTTTAAATTAAAACTTTATTAAAAGAGGATGTTAAAAAAATATCAAAATTGTTTGCATATATTTTAATATGCAATTTTTAAATGGAAAATATAATAATTGATTTATTAAATTTTTGTATAAAATGAGATTGAAACACGAGTAACTATTAGAATTTGTGTAAATATACTTTCTCCAAATTGATTAAATATTAGACAGATAGTAATAGTAATTCACATAATAAAAATACAAATAAACAGAAAAATATTTTGAGCACAAAATATGAAACATTTATAACATTTTTTCATAAAAAAATTTACCCACATAAATCTTGTTAATCTTTAGAAAATGAGAGAAAATTTATGAAATTAGTGAAAATAAGTTTTCTCAATGGCCAAAATGTGAATTCATTCTTAACATTCTCCTTTAAAAAATAATGGAAAAAACAACAGTGTGCATAAGTCATTATCATTGATAACGTCTTTTATTCTTATGCTCCCACCAAGTCGGAACCCAATCGCGAATTTCCTGCTGTATGTAACGATAAAGTAATAATCCAATTATAGGAATTGCTAGAATTTCCTTTTTAAATAAATACACATACATTGCAGCTAACAACAAAACCACGTCAGTAATATAACTAATTGTCGTGCGAACCTTTCGCTCTGCATTGATTGCCAACATTATATTTTTAATATCCTTGTCTCCCTCTTTCATTCTAGTATCGTCCATAATAGAGTTTTTTCTTATTCGATCCTTTTTATTTTCCAGAGCTCGTTGAAGACGCTCCATCTGCGTTTCGGTTGGTGTATTTGCTCTAGATCGATCCTTTGAACTTGACCTGGAAGAAGGACGACTACTCTTCATACCACTAGAGGATTTAATACTATTGACCGACCTAAACTCATTTGCTCTTGTCGTAGATGAAGATCGCGATCCAGGTCTTGATGATTCTCGATCCCTTGAAACATTTCGGGATCTACAAATTGGTGATTCATTCGGTGAATTTGGTCGACTCTCATTTCTTGATGAAGATCGATTTTCTGTTCTTTTTTGTATTGGAATCTTTCTCAAATCTTCTCTACTAGTTTTCCTGATTCTTTTCACCTCATTAACTGGCTCTTGTTTTCTTGATCTTCCCCTTGTAGTCGGGGTCTCCGGCTCTACTCTATTTACTCTATTCGTCAAACTTCCACGCCTTGAATTTTGCTCTGTTAATGTTAATCGTTTAGCTTTTAGAATAGGTGTCGTTGGTATTACTGGTGGAATCGGTGTAATTATTTTTGACGACATTAATGGTACCATCGGTGAAATTGATGTTATAATTTTATTACATGTCGGTTTATTAGGTGAAATTGATGTTATAATTTTATTAGATGTCGCAAATTGTTTGTCTTTGTAAAAATCTGATTGATTTGTTGGAATCGGTGATGTAACTCTAGATTCTGACCGGTTTTCATATAGTTTTTGTTCTCTATCACGGCTTAATGAGCGTTGTCGAAGTTCCGGATTGGAGTACTGCTCAACAAGTTCTGTATAATGACTTACTACGGCCATTTTTTCCTCTTTTTCCTCTTCATTATCGTCTAATGAAAGCATTGTCTTAGAATTATGTCTCATTTGTTTTCTCTTAATTACTGCTGCTTCTCCTGCAGAAATTACAGCTTCCTTATCGAGATCAACGTCTGTTATTGTACTTGTTACACTAATTGCAGATGTAGATGAGGATTCCAATGTACGAAATGAAATATTTTGTTCTAAAGTAGAAGTATTGTTTGAAAATTCTAAGTTTGACATCGACTTGATACTGAAATTATAAAATTTGCAATGATATTAATTAATGCAATGTAAACTAATCATAATTGTAAAGACAAAATATATTTATTATATAAGTAATATTTTATTCTCCATTTTTTTATACCTGATAACTACAATGGAAAAAGAAATTTCAAAAAATTTCAAGAATAGCTATTCTATAAGAAAATTTTTAATATTATATCATATTAAATATATAACTTAAACAGATAACAATTACAATAAATAAATTTAAATTTGATTGAAAAGAAAACAAAATACATTAGAACTCATCAACTATTTTTTAAGTTAATACATTTAATATTTTTCTTATATTTTCTATGTACTAGATGTTGATAATCATTTATGTTTTTTTTTATATATTTTGACTCTAATTACTAATAATGTTTATGCTTTCTAAATTCTTCTATTTAATTAACTATCAAACTATTCATGACTATTATTGATTTTATTCAATTTACCTATTAGGCACAACTATGCCAAAATCATCATAAAGAGGCAATGATTTACGAAGCGGTTTTTCGGGAGGAATAGATCGACCAAATTGGTTTAATAATGGCACCGACTCCGGCTCCGTACGTTTTTTCAGTATTGATTTTGGTTGAGTGGTATTACTTTGAGATATTGGGATTAAATTTGTTGGTGATAAATTCGTTCTGTCTGGTAATGGTGGCGAAAAATCGTGCAAGGGGATCCTGTGCGGTGGAACAGGCGGAGGTTTTTCCGGATCGACATGCAAAATCATACGGCCGTGCGGATGATATGTGTCCTCTTCATCAGATATGGGGATGGCCATTATTCTCGCTTTCAGTTGCTTTAAATCCTCACTATCCGTACTTTCTTCTTCAGAAGAAATACCTGACGTTTCGACGCTGTCTTCAGCAAGAATTTCACCAGAATCGGGTGCAACTTCATCGTATTCTTCTTCGAATTTTGATATACCCTTTAATTAAGGTTTATTTTTAAAATTTACTCAATTTTATTATTATAATATTGTTATTATTGTGTATTGAAGAAAGTAAAAAAAATTATATTTACTCGCATACAATTATTGTGACGGACATTGTTAAAATTATAAAATAAATAGGACTTTACTTTTATTTCTCTATTAGCATAGTGTTTGAACTTAAAATATTAAATAAATTTATTTTACGATTACCTAATGTAAGAAATAAAATTATAAATGAATATTTATATACTTTTATTTAAAACATCTTTATTTTAAAAATTATCCCTTTAGTACGAAAATTTAAGGTTAACCACAAAGCTACTATCTCTACATTCTCAAAAATATTTCTTGATATTCAATTAAACAAAATATGTCGAATAAAGTTTTCAATAATTTAATAATTTTTTTAAAGAAATAAATTTATAATAAAATTTATAATACTTTATTTAAATTTGACTATGTGAAAATTATAATAAAACAGATTATAAACTTTTCATACATTACATTGTATAATATAATATTAAATTTCTATCTCCTACGTAAAACCATGAAACTTTATTACAGTACTTTTTATCTAAACTTAATTTTCTTAAATATATAAATTTTTTATTAACATATTTAATTAATTAATTAATTAATACTTTATAAAAATCTATAAAAGAAACATTGTAGAAAATCTGAATATGTGTAAAAAAATTAAAAAAGATAAAAAAAAAGGTGGATATAACTTGTACGAACGTATTTATGCAATTTTTTATTCTTCATGCAAATAACCTAAATATTACTTATGAAAAAATGAATAAAGATAATTATGTATGGTTAAATAACAGAATTATGGCTATGTTCAATAGATATTTACTGTGAAATACAAAACGTGCGAGATGATAAAGCAATCAAGGTTGCAAATTAATGAAATTAATTTAATTATAAAATTATATGTACTTTTATTTCTAGCAGCTTATGAAGTCCCTCCTCCTTACTCTGAGGACTGTCTTTGTCGATCATTTCGGTGATAGATTTTTCATTACTAAGATCGAGACCGGGTTCGTGCCATCTGCGCAAACGTTCGACACTACCCGCGATACCGCCAGTGATCGTCCACGGCTCTACCTTTTGAGCAAGCACTTCGTTACTCATAAATAGATTTGGATCCGACGAGACGTTTTCCAAAGGCGCTGTGATAAAAACGTTGGGCACCTTGAATGTCGGCACCTTAGCTTGGCCCTCACTGGATCTTCGACGATCACGTTTCAGTAACCACGTGGTAGCTGTGCCGCCCGAATTCGACAAACGCCTACGCACTGAGCGGGTTCTCGCGCTGAATAAAGGATAGGTGTCGTCGCTTTGGCCACTGGTGGATCTATGCCAGCCCAAGTCCGATGTTTGAAACTTTATTCGAGTCTGCTCGGTTGATTTCTCAACTTCGACCGCTCGGTAAAAGCGTTCCATGGCGCGCTCGTGCAAAAGCTCAGTCGAACTGACAGCTTCACGAATGATTTCCACAACACGATGGCCAGTGCTGAATAGCTCAGGAAGTGAAAGGGACATAGGTGGTGGAATAAGATCTTCTTCATCTGAATCTGCAGGCTCTTCGATATTATTTCGATGCTCCATTGAATTATTCCCTTAAATATACAAATTTAGAGATAAATTTATTATGTTTATTATATCATAAATTTAATATGATACAATTGCAATTATTATGAATTCAACCACTTAAAATGTTAGGTATGTGATTTAAGCAATTGATTGTACTGTGGTGTATAATTGGTTCATTATTTCATATAAATTTAGTATTGTTTATAATAATTTTCGTAATTAAAAAAATATTTGTAACATGGAAGAAAAAATTTGATAAAATGAAAAAGATTTTTCATTAAAAACTCTCTACGGATTAAGTTCATTTTTTCAACTAAAGAGAAAACTATAAAGATATTTAATCTCTTATATTTTAGCTATTTCAAACATCGTAACTCTTATTTAAATTCAATTATATTATATATTATTTCTATAAAAAGGTTGTTCTTTTCTTATGCTTATTTAAAAAACAGAATCATAAATAAAAGTAATAAAATGATTTTACACTGAGGCCTCCTTAACGCATGACTGTTTCGAAGAATAGACTCAGAACTCTTTTTAATTCGTCTTGACTGATTTAACTCGTCATCCTCTTCGCCTGGATATAATACCAACATAAATTCCGAGCTATCGTGTAGCATACTCTCCTCGTCCTGTTTCTGAATGCACAAGCTCACACTTGCATCACTACTTCGCCTGCGCTTAGGCGTCGGTGGTGAACTAAATACAGATTCACAGCTTTCAGTGCCTTTCTTAATATGTGTTATTGTTGTATTGTCCATCGCTGATGATGCAAGACTATGATTCCGCGTCGGGGACGAGTGATTCGAACGTGATTCTAAGTAAGACATCTGGCCGCCCGAGTCATCGAAATTTGGTGTTGTCATCACTGCTGTCTGAGGTGATGTAGCTCTATCTAATAAGGGTCCAGGTATATTAAACAGAATTTAAATAATATCCATTGCACTCTATATATGAACAATTACAGACTAATCGACAGAATTTTCTTCATTCAATTAAAATAATTATTTATTGCAGCACAGACAATATTTGAAAGACGCGTATTTATTTATTATAATATTAATAACGATTAATAGAAACTTTTATTACAGTTATCACGAGGCTAGTACAATACAAAATAAAAGTATTGCTTTCCAGACTTCTCTTTAAAAATCAAAAGTCGCTTTTCTTTTAATCTGCTTTATGAGCCTCGACAATATTTTTAAATCCTCGAAAAAACGCGATCGTAGATGTTTATCTTCTTAATGCATCATAATCTCACCCAAAATATCGAGTTCACGAGGCTGGGGAATATCGTCTTTGGACCACTGTCGATTAGGTTCGTTTTTTCCGCGTCTCGTTGTGTCCAGAGCAAAAGTGACGCGGCTGTCAGTCCGTGAGGCTCTGGAGTAGTTCGATGAGATATTGAGCCATTGAGTGGAAGTGGTACGCTCATAGGCAGCTAACGTTGCACGACTCGATTCCTCCTCGCGGGTGAGACTACGCGTCCTGTGAGAGGGCTCCTTAAGGTTCACCTCGCGCCTTTCAGTGCGCCCTCGCGGAATATCCCGATGGCTCGCTGATTTTGCTCGCATATTCGGCTCAGTTATTCTGTTGGACATTTGCATGATTTACATAATAAGAGGTAGAAAAAATAAGTAAACAATTAATAATGCTGATAAAATGCTTAAAATACCATGCATGAAATTCGTTTTCAATATATTATAAAAATACCTCTGAATTCCCAACTCATAAGAATAAAATTTAATAAAAATTTATTACCACCATATTTAATTATTGAAAGAACTTATTATTGTAAGAAGCGTAATTTATTAATAATCACTTTACTTAATAATAAAATATAAAATATAAAATATAAAATATACCCTCTCTTCGGATCAGGTATAAATACAATATCGCTCTCTTCATTAGGATCGCTAAGGCCATAAGGATTCTCTGCTTTGATACGAAATCGGTACTCTGATCCTTCTATTAAATCATTTAATGTTGCTGTCGTTTGTCTACAAGTTGCGGCTTTTAACCATACATCCCATCCAATCTGAAATAATAAATAATCGATTAAATGCTTAATAAAATCATGAATAATAATTGAAACAATATCAAAAATTGATATTCAGTACATATGCAATATGTAGTAAATTTGGAATAAACTCAAATTAAATTTATTGAATTAAATTTAATTAATATTAATTTATGTATTATTAATTTTGTAAATATTCTTTAATTTGAATTGTAAATGTCTATTAATTATAATTCGCTTAATAATGAGAAAATTTTATTCATAAATGTTACTTAAATGACTCTTCTAATAATTGAAGAAAACTTATAAAATTGATATGAAGTGTGATTTTCGTTAATATAATAAATGTTAGTCTTTAAATATAAAAAAATATTTGTTTATATCAGGAATATTTGATAATTTTAGTGCACAGAGAAATCTAAATATTTTCCATAATTCAAATAATTGGTAATCGAGTTATATGCGTCAAGCAAATCATGGTTACATAATTCCAATTATTAGAAAATTATATTCAGGAGGGTATGAAACTTAATGTTTGTACTTACTCTATAATACTCGATAATATAAGTTCCAATTTTACAACCACCGTCATCGTCAGGTTCCTTCCACTCCAAAGTTACGGTTCTTCCCAATGTTCCCGAAACTATTGTTTTTCCGGGTGCAGCAGGACGATCTAATAATAGGTTTGAAATTACTTTACATTAATAAATCACTTTAACAATATATATCATTTTTTAAGTGAATTAATAAATTACTCATTTCAGACGATTTATTATAAGATTGTTTAAGTAATCCTGTTTTTAATAGCGTGAAAATTTCTGTAAGAAACGTCCATGGAGTTAGAAACTCTTACCTACCTGTGACGGTGACTAAAAAAGATGCTATGTCTTCGCCAAGTTTATTAACCGCTCTGATCGAGTATTCGCCACGGTCCTGACGTTTCGCATCTTGAATCTTTAGAATCGTTTCATTGTCTGTTATAGATTCAAAATTATGTCGCTGATCAACAATGATAATCTCGTTATTATGATACCAGGTTAAACTAGGTGGTGGTCGACCACCGTTAATCGCTTTCAGTCTAATCGTTTCTCCCTGTTCGAAAAGCAGCCCATCATCATATTGCCGAGGTAATCTGACATGGGGTGGTGCTATAAATATTTTAAATAACTTTTAATAAAATTATTAAATTAACACTTTTTCTGTAATTATCGATTCGAAAATTTTTATTTATTTTTTTTTTTCTTATATGAACTGATGTATTTTTTTAAATTACCTTCAACCATGAGTTTCGCTCGAGTACTAATGTGACCAGCTCGGTTTGTAGCAGAACATTTAATTTCTCCTTCATCATCTATTAATGTTTTATAAATAATAAGTATACTTTTGCCACTATCAGTTGTAATTGTGGTCCGCCGACTACTAAAAATTTCAAAACCATCTTTAAACCAGGCTACTTTTGGTGTAGGTATTCCCATGTAGACAACTGAAAATTCTGCCTAAAATATTCGAAAAATTCTATTATAGTAATAGAAACTTGAATTCTCAATTTCAGAAAGTTCTGATCATTTTTTTATTTCAAATACTTGATACATTATTAAGTCCACCAATAACGATATATATTTTTAGAAATCAAAATTTTAGAAAATATCACCAGTAAATATTTGAACCAATATATGTTTTATGGGCTTAGTAAATTACTGCTAAGTAAAGTAATGTATGAAACCAAAGATTTTCTCGATCAAGGCTTTATGTAGACTTTAAAACCAATTGAACTTAGTGGATATTATGCATAATGATTATATATAGTTAGCGATCAATACGCTTTAAAAAATTTAACTTCCTTCAGATTCACTTTCTTCGACATTCAAATTTCGCAAAAGTCGTAAAACATACAGAGAGCACTTTTACATAAAAAATCTTTTAATGAATATCGCTCGCTATTACATTTTCGTTATTATGAAATTTACAATGCTGCCTACAAAAATAATTACAGATCAAATAATATAGGTAAGTTAAATGCTGGTTATCGATTAAAAACCAACCTGTTCACCCTCGAGCGCAACGAAGTCCCTAAGCTCCATGTCAAATCGGGGCGCGATTGATGCTGTTCTCTGGAGTGTGACAGTGAGCGGATCCGAGAGCTCACTGGGCTCGGAGAGTCCGAGCGCATTCTGAGCTCTAATGCGGAACTGATATCGCCAACCGGGCTCAAGACCACTGAGCGTCAGCTCGGGAAAGGTGCAAAGTACGGGTGCTGACCTGACCCAATTGGGCGAGCCCATTTTACGGTGCTCCACGTGGTAGCCAATAATAGAGGAGCCACCATTGAAAGGTGAGCGCTCCCACCGTATGCCGACGACATCGGGCTGTGAGTCCTCCTCGCCTGGGATGAGGATTGGCTTGCCCGGAGGCGCGGGCAATCCTTGCAGCCGGGAAATGAAAATAAGGATGCGGCTTAAGTCGGTGTGCATGCGCCTCGCGAGTTCCCGCACCGAATCACCAGGTGATTCACTCTGAGTACCCTGTAAATGTTTTTGTGGGGAGGTTAGCGTGGAGTCGACTCCGTCAGTTCTGCCAACCTTTCAGGATTCACTCTCCGGTGATTTTTGTCGGAAACCCGATATTTAGTCACAGGTATTAAGATAACGAGCTATCCGTTGGGTATGTTTTATTTATGTAATGAATAATAGCTGAGAATGATATGTTAAATCTATTCACATATGTGACTAAAGTTTCATATACGAAATAAAGATATTAAATGCTGTTACACAAAAACATTTACATTATCATTTAGAGAGTACCAGATATCGATGTAAAGGTTTATCAAATTTGCATACAATATCTATTTCTTATTAAATACTGGCAATTAATGATTGTTATCTTAAACATAAAAACTATATAATCACTACATTACAAATACATGTTACGTAGATGTTTTTTAAATGCTCCAAATATTTATTAAGAATAATAACTCTGATTAACAACGAAATATTTTATTCTTAAAACAATGAATTTTGTATCTGTTTTTACTTGAAATTCTGTACTGTTATATGAATAATTAAATTACAATTGTTTCATTAATTTATAATTGTTTTATTATGGATATTACAATTGAGCGCCAAGTCCTACAAAAGAATCGCGTCAACGTTATACGATTGATATTGTGAAACAACTCAAATATGATTCTACAAACAATTGCATAAAATATTACGAAATAAATCCGTAACACATTAACCGATCTTCCATTTGAGTTATCGATTACTACAAAATTAATATAAAAAAACTTAATATATTCATATCTTAAATAGACTACAAAATAATGCGAATTTTTAAGTCTTTTTATAGTTAATTTATTTGTTAAGTATGTTATTGTTAGAACTAACATAATTATTGTTTAAATAATATTTAAATTATAATCTACACGGATAAATGTGAATTAAATTTAGAAAATATAGGCAAAATAATTAAGTAAAGAACTTTTTCACGCATACGCATGCGTACTGAAATAATAACAAACAATAACTCGATTATAATTTTATAATAGTAATATGTTTATTATTAAAAACAATAGAAGTTTTTTTTATTATTTTATTGTGAATTAAGAATTTTTTGTTATTTAAAAAATATATATATACTTATATATTTTATTTTACTAGTAAATGAAAATGGAATTTCATATACATTAATAAAATTGAGCTAATATTATAAATTGCATGCTACAAATATGAAAAACTAATTTCTCATAATTATTAAATTTTGTTATCATATTAATATCATAAGTCCAAAGCTTTTATTTATCATTATTACTTCAAGTTGGCTTGAAATCACAAGAGCTAGTCTGCGGCCCTACTACAGTCCTTCACATACATATTTGCACTCGTGTTTACACACTCACATACGTAAAACTATAAATATACAGAGAAGACTCTGCTTCGAAGGTAAATTAATGTATGCATATAAAAAAATATTTTAAACACGATTCGATTTATTTATTTTGTACAAATATATATTAATCAGATAGCGTTTGAATTAAAACAAACTATTAGTAATTTGATATTATACACTAATATTATACTGTTATCTACTGAAATATCAAAATATTAAAATGTATATCGATTAAGATAATTTAAAAGAAATTATTAATTATTAAAATTGCAGTTTTTAATAGGATAGTACAATAAGCAAATATAATTTCCAAACGTCACCTATTTTTACAATCCTATGATTAATCATTAATACTAATTCAACTAATAAAATCCATTTATTTGATAGAATAAAAGCAAACAAGAAATTTAATTTTTACACATTTGATTACATATATATGTATTTATACGAATACATAAATTGCCCATCCCGGACATGCCGTAGTACGAGATTAAGGAATTCAATAGATAAGAACAAAATGCCAAACGCACCATTCGACGTGAGATTTCTGTGCTAATATACATAAAGACGATACATCTTTATTATGAGTATAGACTCGTGTTCTTCACTTTATGCTAGGTAAAAACATTAAATTTTTATACCAGAAACGTTGGGGGAGATAAGCTCAAATACACTAATCTCAACCTTTCCTGTCAAAGTCGCACGTAGAACGTTCGTTTTGGCACTTCGCTTGTAATCGTCCGATCCCCCGTGAAATCGAACATCAGTATGCTCTGTCTTAGATGTCCAGCACAAGAGATGCATAAACACATGACTGGGAGAGGTGACAGGATAAGATGATACAGGTAGGGCACAACGCGATAGTACGAACACGATGAAAGCACCTTCGGCATCCTCAAGGCGTCGAGCGACGGCGGCAATGATGGCGGTGATGACGGCCGCGGTGGCGACGATAGCATCAGCGAGGAGGAACAGCGATGAGTATCTACGTCTCAGTCTTTTTGTTTTGAAAAATGTCCGGCGGCAGCAGCTGCACGTGTCACTCCCGAAATAAAGCGCGAAACCGCTGTTTGGCAATCCGCGAATCCTCGCCCCCTGGTCGGCTTTGTTCGGCGAACGTCCCCCCCGTGACTGCCGATAAATCATTAATTGGCTCAAGTGGCCTAGTCCGCGGCGCCTCGATACAAATTTTACGGCGCCTAGATAAATGCCTAACTTGTTATGCGATACACGTGTTTTGTGATTTGTATTTTCATGATTCAAGATACTATGATGCAAGAAGAGGACCGTTAAGGAGGAGAGGTCAGGAGCGAGGGATGACAAATAAGTTTTGCAGCTTCCTCGGCAGCTCGCATATTATTTACACCACTGCTACATTCTTTTTATCCACATACCATTGCGCAGGAAGACATTTGTTTTCCAATTTTCTTTTACGGCCTTGTAAATCATCAGTTTCATGCTCTAAAATTGTAACGCTCTAGTCAAATATGAGTGGATATCTAAATAAAAGTCCAATATTACATTGACTTTTTCATTTTGTTGCAAAATACTGTTTTTCTTAATTTTTTTTCTTTTTAATTTATAATTACATGCAATCTTAATTTTTGATAAAATTACACTTGAAGTATAAATAAACTTATATTTATTTCATTTATTTCACTAATAATAAGACATTTATAAATAAATTAGTAATATTCAATAAATTAATTAATTACTTTTCTATAATTTTAATTAATTTCTTAATCTTATATAGTGGAAAAGATCCCATTGAAATAATAAATTATATATAACAAAAATAATTAACTTGTAGCCAAATGATAATTAATAATAAACCAAATAAATTCTACAAAAATTTTTATTTTAGATATTACTTAATTATATGTAACCTAAAAACAAAGAATGTAAGAACAAATAGAATTAATTAAAAGTACTGTTTTTAAATAAATTTTACGGCCGATTAATACTAGTTAAAAAAAAATTTTTTTTTTATATTAAACTCGACCTGTATAGAATCCCACACCAACAAAATCACTCGGGCTTTCTTCAACTTTTCATTCAACTTTTCGTGCAGTATTCAAATTTAGATATTGTAAAATAAAAGCCTTCATTTACAACAGCTAATATAAATTTTATTATAATATTTTAAGAAAATAAAATAAATGTTTAATTATAATGCAATAGCAAATAAGCTGCCGTGTGTTTGAATAATTTTTATTGTCCTAAAATAAAGTTAATTGTTCAAAAAAAAAAACGAATAAATAATAAAAGTATAAATACTTTATATAATTATCAAAACGGAGAGACAACTTCCTTAAATAGAAATATTTTTAAATCATATTCTTCCACGTGTTTATTCAGAAATACTCAATACGAAATGTGCAGAAATTATGTAGTTTTTAAGTACTTAACATAAAGATAAAAAGTATGAAAATAAAATTTTCTTTATTGCCACTGCAATAAATAAGTAAAGCAAATCAAGACGAGTTATAAGAAGTTATTTTTATATAAAAATGCCTAATAAATCAGTCTGAGAGCCTAATTAATCAAATGTTAAGAAGTGAACGATCCTTTCCCATATCAGTATCTCAATTAGCTTACTCTATAAGCAACTGAATTCATCGATTAAGGCCGAGTTGCCTGTACAATGATTACTCATGAACCGAAACATAAAAGAGACGATTTCCACGAATTCGCGAGCAGTGACAGTTGCGAAGCACGACCCATCGCATGCACAACGGGCCGAGCATCTGACCCTGTTTCTCCGTCTGCGACATAACGCGGCGAAACAATCAAAAAAGAAACATCGAAACGCGGGCAGAGCGTCTGCCTCGCTTCTCTCTCGCTGAAAATTTGGACTACGATTCCATCGAGAGAAAAGTTCTTCCTCGTTTCTTTACTACTTGATATTATTTACTACTTTTCATGTCTACTTTTTTTGCTTTGTTTATGTTTTCATTTGTTATGTCATTTATTTTGTGAATGGAGTAAAATTAAATCGAACGGCTTAAACATCGAATCCCCAATACTATCGCATACACGCTGAATGCTTGGATTTCATAAGCTATGCGGCACTTTTAGCACACTCTTCGGTTAAGCATGAAAAAGTCAATGAGCATTCCCTTAGAATGCAGCAAAGGATGTAAGATAATCGACGGAGCGATTATGAGGAATGAAAAGGAAAGCGCAATAAATCGCGTGATCCGTACAGTCAGTCAACTCGCTAAGCGGCAGGGGAAATCACGCGCGAACCTTAAAGTTGGTCTGGGCGCCTTCACCCCATAACCTCAGCCAGAAGTACGGGTGCACGGGGCGAACGTGTGGCTAAGCGGAGTCGTGCACGCACAAGCGCGCGTACGCACACACATACAGAGACATGAGATAGAAAATAGACGGGGATAGTGCCGACGAAGATACCCGTCCGAAAGCCTCGTTATTTCCGTTGCGTCGATTCGCTGATCGTCCGTGAGCAGCGCCTTCCCCTGCGTGTTTCTCTTCTTCTTCATCGTCTTCTTCTTCGTCTTACTCTAGTTCTCGCTCGAGGGCGCAATTTTTCCTCTCGCAGCATCTTCCTCAATGAAGTCGATAGTTCGCGAGTGAGCAAGCGAGTGAGAAAGAATGATGGACAGGGGTGGGGTGTTGGAGGCGGAGGAGGTGATGAAGTCGGTGGGGAGAGGGGGGGATGGAGGGAGGGATATACAAGGCCGGTGGATGAGGCGATTACAAGAGCCGAACTCGCGGAAGGTAAATAAATCCAGCGGGGCTCGTGATATTCGCGGACTCGCAGCAAGCGCTTGTTACCTGGACCGTCCCAGTGCACCTTCTTGACGGTACCGCTGGGCGCGTAGATGCCCCTGGACGGATGTTGGGCAGCCTTCTTCTGGGCGTTACCCATAATATCGCGGGGCGCCTTGAGCCTCGATCTCACGGCGGGCTCGTCGGCTTCCTCTTCGACAGGTACCCCGCTAGCGGAAGTTACCGGCCGCACGCAACAGAAGAGCACCAGACGGCGACGACGTCTCGGATTCTCCTCGTTTACCGTCCTTCCTCACCCCGCGACCTCCGTCGCTCACTATTTTCCCTCCTTGGACATTGCGCCGGGCGAGACGGAGACAGACCAAGAGAGAAAGAGTAAAATGAGTGAGTGTTTGAGTAAGAGTGAGAGAGAGAGAGAGAGAGAGAGAGAGAGAGAAGTCGGGCTCTCGATATAGCGCGAGCGGACGCCTCTTCCGTGGTTCCGATGCCGAACTGCCGTACAGCCTCGGCCCGAGGAGGAATAAGAGGAGAGCGACGGCAGTTTTAGAGTGCAAGCCTCTAGGTAGGGAGTGCGTGTCATCGGCAGGCTGCTTTTCCCTTTTTCCCGCACCGCACTTGTTGCCGAATTTTCGAAAGGCACGCGAACAAGCAAATGACTACAGCTTTTTCTTTTTCTTCCTTCTTTTATCTTTGTCATCTTATTTCCCTATTTTTTTATCCCCGAAAAGTTTATTTTACTTAAAGCCATGTACGTTAAAACCACTTCGCCACAGCTGATTTTATTCAAATCCCAAATATTTTCTACGTAATCTACTGACCAAATTCCCTATAGACGAATAAGAAGGATGAAATGTATAGACTCAATTTAAAGTATAGACAGCTTAAACTATATGTATTAATAAAGTTAAATGGTCGATTGAAGTAGTACAACGCAATTGAAAACAATTACAACCAATTATTATACAACAATATGATAATCTTCATTTTTAATCGCTTTAATTAGAAATTAATATTAAATAAACTTAAAATGAAGAAAGATAATAAAAACTATATTTAACAAAAATAATATTTGTATATATTTATATAAAAGAATATATATATCAAAATTTAAACATTTATTACATATATTTACTTATCAATCAAAATTTATAAACATATCTTAAATGTAAATTACATTTAAATTAAAAATTTTAATTTTATTATTCATTTACGAATACCTTTTTAAAATACTAATATAACTATTCGTAATTCAATTTAAATGAAAATTAATACATGAGAAATATTTATTAATTGAAGATTCATTCATTTTATTTTTATAACCATGTTATAATAGATATAAAAAAGATATTGCTAGTTTAATTGTATTTGTTCGTTAGCAAAGAATAAACATTTCTTTCAGAATATAGTTAATGGATCATCTATTCCATCTTACCTATCTGTATTTGACAATTAATATATAAACTGTTTTACTTATGGTGATTTATAAATTAAATTACCTTTCGATTTAAAATCACTTTGAAAATATTTAAGATTGAAATTAAGTGATATAAAATAAGTATTATATTATTATTTAATTTAAAAATATATCTAAACCACAAAATTTTGTACATTTTTTCTAATTTTTTCTAATTTTATAAATAAAATAATTAAAATAATTAATTTTCATTAATATAAAAATTGATAATTTTTTCAAATGATACATTCTACAAAAATAATTTGATATAAAACATATGTTTATGTAAACATTTGCATATTGTACATATTGTAAAATACATATGTAAAAACTGTACAGCGTATTTATTGTTGTTTTTTTATTCGGTCAGATTTATTTATTGTTTTCTATATTTTAAATATCTTTAAATATCTTATTTATATTTTTATTAATATTATATCAATATCATATCATATAAATGAATTTTATTATCTTGAATACTGCTATGTAAATTAGCAAAAAATAATCTGATAATATAGATAAAATAAAGAATATAAATGCCTTCTATTCACAAATCATACATTCATAAATCATAAACATTATCAATTTACTATCTACCCTATTCTTATTGTATAAAAAAAATTATGTAAATATTAATTTTTACCAAAAATCAATTCCAATTCAATGTAATTAATATACTTATAATATTTTCTTAAATTAAATATATTTAATATACATATACAAGTTGAAAAATTATTCTGTTAGAAAATTAAATTTAATATGAAAAAAGTATTAAATAGTTAGCAATAGTAATTCAACCTCATAATAATGACTTCTATTAAAAATTTAATCTTGTAAAAATAATTCTTATTAATAAAAATTTACATGAATCTCATTTTCATCGATTCAAGATTTCTACTAGTAAAATATTAATAATGTACACAAATTAGGAAGATTAAATTATTCCTGTATATGAGCATTCGATCAATAATTTAAAATTGTATTTTCATTAATGGAAAATGTTTTACATAGAAATGAAAATTTTTAGATATTTTTTTTACTTTATTTATATAGTCTCGTTTGATAATACTTAACATATAAATTATATTGACTATTACAAAAAAATTAATAATTGAATCTTTAATCTAAAATATTTTGATAATAAGAATTTGTTGCACTGTAACACGAAATTTAAATATGCAATTAAAAATTAAATTAAATGAGAAATTAAAATTTCACTTTAAAAATGAAATTAAAATTAAAACGAAATTCAAATAAAGAAATTGAAAAAATTTCAATAATATATATATTTATAAAATTTTATCTATTAATAATATAATAAAATTTTGAAAAGTGTCATGAAAATTATAATAAAAAATTATATACTTTTAATTTTACTGGCAACTTTTAAATTTTCTATATATTGATAAAATCCTAATATTCGCTAATTCATTAGAAGATTTCTATTTTTTTTATATGTTTAAAAGACATTCAACTTTCTAACATTTTTCTTGTGAGCTCGTGTATACATGCATATATATTTAAAATGGAATCTATAAAAATGTTTATTATTCAATCATTTATTGAATAATTGAATAAGGTATTTGGCTTATAATTATTACTGAACATGAAGTTATTGAAACAAGAAACATTTATTTGTTCGAACTAATCAGTTAATATATTTAATAAGTACATAAATACTTAATAATACAAAAATTTTGGAATAATAAATCTTTTCATGTTTAATAACATGATTACATGCAATTTATCTATTTGATAATTATAAATAAACCTTTTACTTTGAACACTCGTTATTATGGTTGCAAATTTATTATACCATATTATTAATATATAAATTTTATCTATTTTAATTAAATAATGTTAATTAAAATATTAAATCATTTTAATTAAAAAGATTGTTACTAATATGAAACTAGAAAATTGTATTAAAAAATTTCAAATTCTACAAAAATCATTCAATTTCATTTCTAATTATTTTATTATAATTGTACGATATAATTATTCGAATGAATCCATAATATACTATATAACGAGCTTATTCTCGACAATCTAAAACGTAGCATTTTTAGTACATTATTATATTTACATTTGCGATCAGTGTAATATTTAATAACCTAAGGCATTATTCTAATTAAATTAAGAATAGATTTTGAAATTGTAGTGCAAATTATTATTTCAGATTTTACAATTGAAAGAATGAATTATCAGACTCCATCTAGCAAAGATTATAAAAAATTAAAATAACATCCGTATACATGGAAGATAACAATAGGATTACCAATACTAATGTAAACGCTGAAATTATCGAGCATCTATATTGAACCTTGAAATAGTAAAAAATAGTAAAGAAAAACTTCAGAATCAATTTTATTCAGGATTAGGTATAAAAAGTAAATTTATAGCAAAATTATAAGCCGAATTTAATTAAAGAGAATCGGTGTAATATTTTATAAACGATTATAATAAACAATATTATATAATTACATACACGAAATTACATATTATATAATAGTTTTAAAAAATGTAAATATAGATTAAATGTATACATAAAATTTAAATTTTATACTTGACTATATGTACAATTTTGATTATATGTATTATTTAAATTATTTAAATATAGTTTGTCTGGTAAAAAAGGAGTCCAATTTCCAAAATTTTTAGTTTTAACGATATACGCTGTGACTAGTTTAGCAAGCATATGTTTCTAAAGTGACAAATCACAAAAGATAATTTAGTAAAATAAATAGTAGTTCATCAATAGTTGTAATTCATAATACTCGCAAGTTTACCAGATCTTAAAGTATTATGATGGAACAATTGCATTTAACTAGAATAACTTGAGTTAAGATTAGACTTTATGAGCTTGTCAATCATACAATTAAATATTACACAAATATAGTATACTTTCAAATTTAATGATTTTATTCCTCCGTATTCTTCGTTCAAAAATAAGATTGATGTAATCATGAAGACAACGAAGCTAGTTAAATATAAATTAAACTTAAGATAAAATTTTATCAATAGAAGAAATTATTCTACCATTAATGCGTTTCATCATTTTTCCTTTGTAAATGTTTATAATATTTATTATATTATAATATTTATTATAAATATCTTTATAATTATTGGCTATTATCGGTATTACTACTAGCTCCATCTTTTGGTTACATAGATAATTTGAATATTTCGTATCTTACTTACCAACTGTATTTGAATTTGATGATAAACAAATTATTTGTATTTGATTGAAGTTACCATAAGTCTTAAAAAGTTTATAGATATGCTATTCAAGAGAACTGTACTAATTTATACGAGAATATTACTGTTTAAAATTCTAAGAAAAACATACGTACAAATTCAAGTTGTGATTTCTATTTAACCAGTATCTAACTAGAAAACTATTCTATTAACTTGGAGTAAATCTATATAATTAAAAATCTTGTATATATAAATATGGATCTTTGAAATTTAGTAAATGGAAATATATTTTATAATTATTCAGTCGAATTATAAGATAATTTAATCATAAAATTAAAAAAAAAATTAAATACTATGAAATCGATTACTCCCTTTAAACATGCCTAGTATACTTTTTTATATTAAACATGAATATCATGTAATTAATGTTAGGATTATACTTACGAATGTGGAAATTATAATATTTACATTTCTTTAATAACAATCAAGTTTCAATATAACAATCAAGTGTTGATTACAAATAGATTTCTACTAATAAACTAAAATCAATATTTTACAGGTAGATAAAATTAATATAATTAGTAAAATAAGTTCTGCATTTAGCAATTTTTTAGATATAAAATGATAAAATAGAAGTTTACTTTATTAATCAACTTTGTTTGAAATTTATATTAGAGTACTATTCTTTTGAATCGTCTTATTTTTTCGTAATGGTAATGTTTGGCTGCTGGGTGATTATAATAGCAAAGCGAACTCTTACCATACCTAACCTTAACCATACAACTCACGTTGTACATACGTTATTCACTATTTTATAGTTTTATACATGAACTGTAATTATAAAATATTTTCTTATATGTAATTACATGAAATATTAAAAGTAAAGTTTTATCAATTACTTCAATGATTGAATTAATTTTTCTTCGGTATATGAACAATATTTAAATTTGTATTCCAGTAAATTGGAAAATGACACAGGTGTATAAATTTATAAGATTTTCCAACAAATTTGTTAAACAGCACTACTATAATCAGTGTTCAAATATTGTGACAAAATTGAATTTTTCTTCTAAAAATAATCCAGCAATTATTTTAGGCATAGAAACTAGTTGCGATGATACTGGTATGGCAATTGTTGATAGTAATGGCAAGATTTTAGGCGAAGCTCTTAATTCACAACTTCATGTTCATTTACCGTAATTAATTTGGTATATACTATACATATATATGTATAAGAAAGATACATATATATATATATATATATTTTTTTTTTTTTTTTAATCAATATAATACATTAAAGTCTAAGAAACATTTTATTTTTAGAGAAGGTGGAATAGACCCTGCAGTTGCTCGAGATTTGCATTTACAAAATATTGAAAGTGTGTATCAAGAATGTTTAAAATCTGCAAATATTGATATAAACAACGTTGATGCAATTGCGATAACATTAGAACCCGGTTTACCCTTATCTTTAGTTGTTGGAAAAAATTTTAGTTTAAAGTTATCAAGCAAATATAATAAACCAATTATTCCCGTTCATCACATGCAAGCTCATGCATTAACAGCAAGATTAAATGAAAAAGTATTTATCAAATTCTTATTTAAAGTATCTGTATTTGTTTCAGATTAATTAAACAAGTTCGAAATTAATTTTGTAGGTGAATTTTCCATTTCTCGTTCTTCTTATGTCAGGAGGCCATTGTTCAATAGTTCTTGCACAATCTGTGAATCAATTTAAATTACTTGGTGAAACTATAGATGCAACACCTGGTCAATGTTTTGATAAGGTATTTATTTGTAATAATTCAATATACATTTAATTCATAATGTTATAAAACTTTATAAAATATTTTATTAAAAGTGAATTTATTAAATGTATAAATTAATATTCAAAGATATAGAAATTCATAAATTTATATATTTTAAACATAAAATACAGCTTTATAAAGATAATACATATTTTAAACTAAAATAATACATATTCATATGTTCATATTATGTTTATATAAAATACTTGTATGAATTGATTAATTTAAAAATAAATTTTTATTGTAGGTTGCAAGAAGATTAAAATTAATAAATATTTTTGAATATTCAAATATTAGTGGTGGAAAAGCCATTGAATTAGCTGCTATGAAAGCAGATAATCCCGATCAGTTTCACTTTCCTACACCTTTAGTGCATTTCAGAAACTGTAATTTTAGTTTTAGTTGTTTAACAAGTTCAAGCACATATCATATCGATAAAGAGGAAGACAAATATAATATCATATTAGATGAGATAATTCCAGGAGTAAATAATCTATGTGCTGGACTTATAATGGCAACCATAAAACATATTTGTACAAGGTTGGAAAGAGCAATGCAATTTGTTGAAAATGAAAAACTTATTCCTGAGAATAATAAAATTTTGGTACTTACTATATTTAAAAGATATTTGTTCATTTATTTAATTAATTTGTCTTGTAATTATATATTTTTTCCGAATTATATAACTGTTTAAATTAATAATAGATTATTTCTGGTGGAGTGGCATCAAATAACCTTATAGCTAAAGCTTTGGATATACTCTGTTTAGAAAGAGGATTTAAATTAATTAGAACTCCTCCAAATCTTTGTACAGACAATGGAGTCATGATAGCATGGAATGGCATAGAAAAATATATGGCTAATATAGAAATAATAAGAAATAGAGATGAAATAAATAAACTTGATATTAAAGGAAAATCACTTATTGGCGAAGATTGGTGTGATATTGTAAAAAGTAAAAATATAGAAAGGTATCGTTTTAAAATAAAATTTAATAATTTACTATCATAGATCCATTGATAATCTTAAACTATATTGTACAAAAAAAAAAAGAATATAAATTTATTATACTATAAAAATAACTAATAAAATTTTATTTACAATATTTATTAAATATAGTTATAAAATATCTTATTTAAAGAAATGAAGTAGTTATCTTAAGTTCTTTTTTTAGTTTTTTTGTTAACTCCTCCTTCATTGCTTCATTTTCTTCCAGTTTTGCTAACTCTGCTATTTTATCTAAATTTTCTCTTATAAGTTTTTTGAGAACAGCAATTTCATGTTTATCTTTGTTAATTAAAGACATTGGTAGAATATTTTGAAAATTTAAACATTTTTTAGGAAACATACTTTCTGGAAAATCAATTTTTAAATTTTCTAAATTTTTCAATTTTGGTAAAACATCGTTACAAATTTTCTCAGCATTTTCTGTATCCATTTTGTTTAATATAAGCATAGCAGGTTTATCTAATAATTCTGGCTTATAAAGTTCTATTTCCTTATTTAATAATAAAATAGTTTCTAAACAATTCCTCCATTTATGATTTGAATTTAATATAAATCCTTGAATGTCAATGACAAACAGTAACATATTTGATCTTTCTAAATGTTTTAAAACATTCTGTCCCATTCCAACATTTTTATGAGCTCCTTCAATAAGTCCTGGTAAATCTGCTATTGTAATTTCCCGAAAGTCATCATACATGATTTTTCCAAGATGAGGTCTTACAGTTGTAACTACAAATAATATAATTACACATGTATGAAGTATAATAAAATGATATTACAAATAAAAGAAATAAAAATCTTTTACATGCATATGCAGCTATTTTAGGTTTTGCATTTGATACACAACGTATCAATGAACTTTTTCCTGCATTAGGAAAACCAACTAATATAATGTCAGATATTAATTTTAAGTCTAAAATTATACTATGAGATTCTCCTTTTTGACCTGTATAATTTGTTTCTTCACAACCTCCAATTCCTCCTAATGCTACTAACAATTTTTTATCACATTCATTTACTTCACCTATAACATTTATTAATTATTTATTACATATTTAATGTTAAACTTAATAAATAAATACTTAAAATAAAATATTTTATAATTAGAATAAATTATATTTATTAATTTTAAACATTTAATGCAATTTTATTATACATTCTTTATTTTATTTTATTCTAGATTATTTAAAATACTAAATTTAATTTCTGTTATTAAACAATTTGTATTTTAAAATTAATATAAAAAACACATAATAAATACCCATTTAATTAATATGTTAAAATAATGAGTTGAAAATCATTGAAATCTAATTGTTACAAATTTGTGTAAATATATTTTGTACAATTCTTATTAAAAACAATTAAATTAAATAAAAAATGTTTTTAAATTTTTATACCTATCAAGTTACCATCTTCATGGTAGACTATAACTCCTGCAGGTACATTGATTATTATATCTTCTCCAGCTGCACCCAATAATCCATGTTTGGAACTGTCATAACCAGTACCAGCAACTATTGTATTATTTCTTACATATTTGGATAAATCCTTTAATGAAACATTGTCTTTAGATTTCACATATATATTTCCTCCTCTACCACCTCTACCACCATATTTACTTAATCCAGAACCTCCTGTACCAGCTCTTATGTGAAATCGAAGTTTATCAAAGAATCCACTCATAAGATAATTTCTCATAGGCTATTAAATTGATAATATTTAAATTTTTTAATACATAATAAATTGTACTAAAATACGAAAAGTAATATAAATTGTACTCAATTTATTGAATAACTAAAAAATATACTCACAATAGATTTCTTTTTAGCATAACCTAAAATACAAGTAAGATAAACCATTTTTTTGTCTGAAAAAAATTTAGAAATTAATTTTAATTAAAAAATTATTTTTAACATTTTCTTTTCTGAATTTTCATTTCATTATACTGTTTATTTTATTGATTAAAAAGTAATAATGTACTAAATGGAAATTAATAATATAAACATGCCACTGTACTTCAATAGATATCTCAACTGGAAAATATTTATTTGTACCATAGAAATAATATATGCCTACTAGAAGATATGTATATCATTAATTATATAGACCAGGTGGCCAGAAATGCAAATATATAAACGTAATACGTTAATTTAAATTTGTAATGTTTGCTATGTACTTCGTGTAAATCTAATGTTATTATAAATATAAAGTTTCTGTCGTATTGTATAAAATAGCTTGATTCATCATTTAATATTATTGCTCTCGTTCGTATGCTTCGATCAATAATTTTTTTAAATGAATATTTCTAAGTCAATATCTGAAGACAAATATATAAAAAGTTTAAATGAGAGTAAAGTTCGCCATGAAATGCACATATTAAATAGAAATATTGAACAAATTTAATAAGACAGATGCGTTTCAAAATTGGCGCAAACATATGAGAAAAAAAAACAAAAAATTAAAAATATATAAATTTATAATAAAATACAAATGTGAAAAAAAAACAAAAAATCAAAAATATATAAATTGATTAAATTGAATCGTACTAGTAAACTAATATTATTAAAAATTAGTAAAAATATAAATAAAAGAAAACGACAAACACAGCATTCATATATATAATATGTACTAAAATCACTCAAGAATAGATGACAACAAAAATATATATATTACAAGTACTCTAGTGTCAAAGATTAAAATATTATTTGCATCGGTAGTTTTTATATTTTACATATTTTCTTTCTTATATTCAATAAGATTTTCTGATGAAATTTTAAATTATAGACTAATTATGTATTATGTAGAGCAAATTTCCAATCATTTGTATAAATTAATATTGCAACAATATAAATATAAATGTATATAAAAATAAATATCAAATGGATATCAAAATTAATTTTTATCGAAAACTATAATCATTACATCAGATCTTTACATAACAGATCTCTTTTCATAATTTTTTTTCAATAAATATATATTTTATGTGACTAAAAAATTACTATTAACTCACATATATTAATAAAATTTAATAAATAATATATTATAATAGACTTTCTTAATGTATATTCAATAATATATTTAATAAATACAAATATAATATAAAACTTAATGTTAAATATAAAATATCAATACATAATTCGATAGTAAAACTTAAAAAATAAGTGATAAAGTATTTCTTCTGTTTTCAAATATTCAAATATAAAAGATTGATTTTCTTATTTGAAAATTTAAAAATATAATATATAGCAAAGAACATATATTTCATTTTTACAGTTTAGAAAATTTGAAATCTTAAAAATGTTTTCTAAATATGATAAATCTTCCTAAATATGATAAATGAACAGTATTCTTAAAATTTTAATATTTATATAAATTTGATATTTATTTTATTATAATTATAATTATAAACATACTTTATAATTAAATTTAGAAATACCCAGATATAATTTGTTATATATAGCATAATACATAGCACTATTTATACCTTTTATTTCAATTTCTCGACAAAGATATGAATTATTTAATCTAATAAATTTATATTTTCATAGGCATCAAATATTTTTTATCCTATTTATTGTAATAATTTTATGAAATACTTCAAGCGAAACATTTCCACATACTTACATATTACAATAGAAACAATTTGTTTAATATAATATATATTAGTATACTAGTACTTTTTATAATTTCAAGAATTTGATTATTAATTTATTAAATTCCATAAAAAAAGAAATTATATAGTCAAAAAATATAGTAAAAAAAATTATATTAAAAAATCAACAATAAAATTGTATTTTTATTTCGATAACCATAATTTGTGTACTAATTTTTACTGGCTTTGTATAGTTTTTTGTATATTTTCAATGTTTTTCTTTATTGAATGTTTTTATCATATTCCCTAATAGTACTTTATTTACATATGTAAATTAATATCTTTTATACATAATCAATTTATGAAATGACAAAATAAACATTTGTGAGCCTTATCACTTAATTTAAAGATGATGTATCTAGATATTTTATTTAATAAAAATCATTCAATCACTAATATCAATAATGTTTGATATATGCTCATACATCAATTTTATGTAGAAAAACAAATCTATTGTATAAATAGTTAGTTTCAATGAATATTTACACGGTTTTTTGTATTAAAATACTTTCAAATTCACTTCAATAATTCAAAATTAGATTTATTAGAAACTCATACAAACCTATAGACACTTTTATTGTATGTTTCTTGATTTTAATAGTTTTATCATAATAACTAAAGTGTTTACGAATAGTATGTATACTGGAATCTCATGTTTCTGAGCAATAAGAATAAATAATACGGCAAACGTTGAATTATCGTTGAGGTCTTTAAAAACATAAATGTATATATATATAATACTAATGCATTCAAAAAGTAACTAAGATAAATAGAAAATTAACAAATTCTAATTTTATGTATGCATTCATATTTATCAGAAGAAATAAATAAATTATCAAATGTTTTCAATTAAAATTTTACAATTACCATTTTCACTAATATGTTTTAAAAATTCAAATTAATTTTATTGTGTTTTATGAATAATCAAATTTCAGATATCCGGAAAATAATTAAAATTGTACATATATATATATATATATATATATATATATATCCGGATATATATTTTAATTTACACATTATATTTATTGTGAAATTCTATATATAATTCTATAAAAAATTTCATATAATTGCAAAAAAATTTATTTTCATTATTGTAAATTAATATTTTAATTTATTTTATTTTTTGCTTGTACAATAATATTAATAACAAGCAGTGAATCATATTTAAATTATTTTAAATCTTATAATAACTAATGTGTGGTTAACTAATCATGTAGTGCGTGTTGTTATTGTCATATTTGCCGTACTATGCCAATTTGTATATTGATTGTTATACTAATTATACAATAACATTATAAATAAGGTAACGATTAGAAATAATTTTTCTTTTATAATACTTAGCAATACTCAAAGAAAAAGATATAAATTTTTTAGTAGAACCTGTCTTCAAAAAGAATTATAAAAGAATTAAAATAAATACAAATAGAATAGAATAAAAAAAAAAGAAACATTTTACAAACAGAAATCTTGCTCAGTATGAAAGACTATTAATGTAGGATGTTCATCATGATTTCAACGAAGCATAATCTTAGTGCAAAGTTATATTTGTAACTTAAGCATCAGTTGTTAGATATTGAATTTCATAATGTTTTGACATTTATTATATTGATTTTAACAAATTGAAATAAACATTTCTTCATTGGAATTAATATTTATTTAATATTCTGAATTGACGAAATTTTTATATAAGTTTTTTTTCTTTTCACAATGTGATAGATATTAAATTAAAACAAACTATTCTACAACTGTCAGTAGTAAAGAAAAATGGTATTGGGTGCAGAGAAGGAAGTACCGCGATTGCCGGGGGCTGCACGTGCGCGCCTCTCAAACTTATAGATGTATCCGAAGACTAGAGGAGGAATGCGTTAAAATTAAATCTAGCGGGGTTGCAATGTTGAACGCGACTGATGATGTGAACATGGTGCAGTACCGTTCTTTGGCCTCAGTCTCAAGAACAATCGCTATTCGCGCGGCCGCTTTATAAAGAAAAAATGTTTAAGCTTCAATTCTTTCCTTTTATTCTTTGCCCACGGTTGACATAATCGGTATTAGAAGTTGATCTATTAATTCGTCTGCCTATCTGGAGGACGGATCCCAATATTTTTCGGAGTAAGTCAAGTATCTATTGCTTGACTTTCTGGTGGATTCCAAACTACGTACGTTTATGAAAGATGTGAGATAAACATGTCAAACACAAACTCACCTTGGTTTTTCATTCCTTCTAACTTAAGATATAAGTAATATTTCTTATTCAGCTGTAACAATAGTAATATCAATCGATCTTATTATGTCTTATAATTCGTTAATTAGATATGGAAATTGTGAAAACTATATATCTCCTGCGAATATCGAATAAACACATACTTATACTTATTTAAATATGAATTGAAAACTATAAGAATTTTACTACTTCATTTACATATTCAAATAAAATTTTCGACAAATAATTCAACACTCATATGTTTAAAGTGAATTGTATTTTATACATTAAAAAATATGAAGTAACTATCCAAAATCCTATAACATTAACTTTATAAACTAATTGAATTAATTTTTATTCGATCTTTTTAACATCTTCTATTTACATAATTATATTAAACTTCTTGGAGTTTAAAAATTCAACATTTAGAAATTAAATAATACAGCAATGCCAGTTAGTACGTGAACAAAAGTACTACTTATATTAATTTAAATAAGTTATATTAAGAAATAAAATGATAAATTTTTTAAATTATAACTTAAATAATAATTTAATCAACAAATTCAAATCTGTATTTAATTAGTAATTATCATAGTGCATTTCGAAAACGTAACTTCATCTTAGTCATATTTAGTTTAAATATATGAATTCATTGAGTACATAAACGGCTACAGTACATAACAATAAAGCGTATAATGATTTTGTTAAAAATAAAAAGAAATATAGATATAGATTATTGAAAAATAAATCGATAACAATAGATGACATTAAAATGCCTCCAATCGTGAATTTGATTTATAGAACGAATCGATTTCATTCCAAAAAAATATTTGTTTTAATTTGATAAAATTACATTCATGTTACGCTCATTTTTTAATGCTCATAAAATAAACCATATTTAAAAAAATTAAAATAGTAAATTAAAATGCAAAAATTCCTGAATTTAATTTAAATTTGATAAATTGTACTTAATATTTTAGTTATCTTTTAGAAATTTAAAAAATCAATCATATTACAAAAAATTAAGAATCATATAGCCAACAAATAGAAAAA